CCTCCCCCCACCCCCCTTCCCCCTCCCTTTCTCCTCCTCGTCCTCCCTCGCTCGCTCCCTCCCTCCCCCCCTCGTCCTCCCTCGCTCCCTCCCTCCCTCGTCCACCCTTTCTCCTCCTCGTCCTCCCTCCCTTCCTACTCGTCCTCCACCCTCCCTTTCTCCTCCTCGTCCTCCCTCCCTCGCTCCGTCCCTCCCTCCCCCACCCGCCCGAGGCAGGGGCATCGCGCGGTCCTCGTGGGGCGAGATCTGGATAGGCCCACAAGCGCAGCCGCTCCCGTACAGCGCCACGGCGCAGAAGGACCCCGCGCCGCGCCGCCGCCGCCGCCGCCGTGGCGGACGCCGCCGTCGGCGGGCACGGCGGTCGGAGGAGGAAGAGAAAGCACCGATGCCGCCACCCTTGCGCGTCGCCTGGCTCTCGTCTCCACGGCCGGGTTCTCCGCGGAGCCCTGGTCGGAACGCAGATATGGGGGCCATGGGAGAGGTCATGGGGAGCAGCGGCGTCGGCACGCCGAGTTTCTTAGTAAGCGTCGGGGGGGGGGGGACGCCACCCCCGCCGACAGCCCCCACATCGATTCCCGTCGCGGGCAGCCGCCGCGCGCCGAAGGCGCTCCGATCCCCCGTCGCGGCGCGACGACGAGGCGAGGTTGACCCGCGTCGGGGGAGCTACCCCCCCCACGCTTATTAAGAAGCCCAAAGTGCCCAAACATCTTCGATCGGCAGCCGCGAGGGACTCAAGGCAGCGTGCCGGCGACGACGGCGTGCAGCAGGGGCGAAGTGGGGCACGAGAGGCAGGCCCGTCGGTACCCAGACGCCCTCCCGTGTGATGTCTTCCGTCCGCGGCCCCAGGACCCCTGGAGGAGGAGGAGCACGAGAAGGAGGAGCACGAGGAGGAGGCGGAGGAGGAGGAGCCGGAAGAGGAGGAGTTGGAGGATCTGGAGGAGGAGGAGGAGGAGGAGGAGGAGGAGGAGGAGGAGCAGGAGCAGGAGGAGGAGAAGGAGGAGGAGAAGGAGGACGAGGAGGGGCAGGAGGAGGAGGAGCAGGAGGAGGAGGAGTTGAAGGAAGAGGAAGAAGGAGGAGGAGCAGGAGGAGGAGGAGGAGGAGGAGGAGCAGGAGCAGGAGGAGGAGGAGGAGGAGCAGGAGGAGCAGGAGCAGGAGGAGGAGGGGGAGGAGGAGCAGAAGGAGGAGGAGGGGCCCGGTCACGGGCCTTGGAGGCCAGAGTCGAGGAAGAGCGCTTGGACTTAGATCTTTAAAAACAAGTAACAAAAACAACAACAAAAACAACAACAATTCGGCGTGGAAGATCTGGAAACATGGCCCCAGGCCTCCCAGAGGGGGTCGGAGCAGATGGGATCGGAGGATCGCGCCGCATCGCCGATGCAACGGCGATGCGGCGCCATACGGAGCCCGATTTTCTCCACGCCGACAGCGCCGACGCATCGCCGACGTCGCTGATGTTTCGGCGATGCGGCTCGACGCTCCGACCCCGTGCACTCGGACCCCATCTCGGAGGCCTCTAGACATGCTCGTGAAAGATCACGACGGAAGGTGTTGATAGCTTTCGCCTTTCGGAGGCTTCGCCGGGCCTTCAAGAGATGACCCAGGATTCAGAAAATTGCCCTGAGGAACGGGTCTCACCGCTTGGGGCGAAGATGTGTCTGGACGCCCGAAATTGGCACGGAAAGAGTGGGTACAATTCCCAACAGCAGTTCCGGTTCATTTTGAACAGGGCTCGTTGTCCGCGCCGCCGCGGCCTGTGTCCACTCGAGACAGAAGGCCGCCTGCCCAACAGCGGCCGCTGTCGGTTTGGGACAACACTTGTTGTTGGGCATTGTGCCCATTCTTTCAGTACAGTGAGCGGCTTGAGTAAGGAACACTTACTTTTCAAAAGGGGCTCGGTCGTTCTTTAGATTTTACATGCGTTATTTACAGTTCCTTATGCGTTATTTATTATTTATCGTTCCTTATGCGTTATTCCTTGGGATAAACAGGGGCTTCGTTCCTAATTTATCGTTCCTTAGGTCAACGCCCCGACTGTACCCATTTCGGGCGTCCAAAATGTGGTCGTGCGCCTCGCGCAGCGCGGCCTGGCGTCGGGGAGATGCCCCCGTCGCTGGGGGCGGCGGCGCGAGTGGCTCTGAGGGCTCGGAGGCGGGCCGCGCCGCGCGGGGCGCCGTGCGCGGTTCGGGTTGACTTAAGTAAGGGCCTGTCCCCCTACAGGGGGATTTTCGACGAAAAATGAAAAATACAGTGGGGACGCGCATCAAGAAACCAGATGTTGTTCGTCAGGGTGCCCTGTGTTTCTTCGCCGTGCGGTGACTTCCCGCGGAAGTGCTGCGTTCAGAGTGCCTTGGGTTTCCCCCCAATGGCGCCTCGCTCGCGAACATTCGGGGCTGGGTTTCTTGCGAGGGTTTCTTGCGGCCGCGTCCGCACTGTACCCCAAAAATACCCCAAAAAGGCAAAAAAATATTCAAAAACGAGCTCCCGGACTATTTGGGGACTATTTTTGGATTATGTTGGGGGTATTCTTTATTTTTCGTCGAAAACCCCCCTGTACGGGGACAGGCCCGACTTGAGGGTTGACCCAGAAGGGGGTCCAGCGAAGATCGGGGGTCACCGCACGGTTTTGGGACTCGAGCCCCTCTCCGAGGACGTCTCGGGCGACGGGGGCCTCCGGGGTCCCAAGACCGTGCGGTGGCGGACCGTGCGGCGAGGTTTGGAGGGATTTCGAGGTCACTGCACGGTCCGTCACCGCAAGGGGGTGGTGCAATAGATTTGGTGCAGTAGATTCAGGCGGTCGCAAACATGGATCAAGGGGGCGTGGATTAGCGACGGGTCCAGTTTCCATGAAGAATCGCGGATTTCCGCCGCCCAACGAGGCGGCACCAGCGGCGTTTTGGGGAGGGCACCTCCCCCGATCCATGGATTTGGCGACCGCGCGCCAAATCCATGGATCGCTCATCTATGTTTGCGCGCCCCCGATAGATTTGTGGGGTTGCACTAGATTTGGGGCGTGCAATACATTCCGGTGCGCAGATGTATTGCCAGGGTTTCGCGTGCAATACATTAGGTGCAATACGATGCAGTACAATTCTTTGGCGCAATATGTTTGTGATACAATTGCCCAAAATCTGTTGCACCACCCCCTTTCAGCTGGACCCCCTTTTAGGTCGTCCAAAGCGAAGCCAGGTGAGCGACGCAAAAAAACAGTGTCGTCTGCGCCGACATTGGAGCGTAAGCTGCCCGCGTGAGCTCGCGAGTAGGCACCCTCAGCTCCAATGCGGCGTTCCGCGCCGGCGGCCCGCGCAAGCCACCGCATAAGGTCGTTGCGTCATCTCGCGTAAGATCCGTTTTTTGTATCGTCGCCCAGGAGATCTGAAGTTCCACAGCGGCTACACAACAGAGCAGAGAGACCAAAGCAGCAGCGGCCCATCGACCGCCGCCACGGCGCCAGACTTTCGCCGTCGTCGTGCGCTTTGTGCGGTGCGGGCCTCTTCTGGAGTTCCCGACCCCATCTACAGGATCGGTCCTTCGCCGCGGGTCGCTTCTGAAGACAGTGTGCTGGGTCGCCGACGAGGGGTGAGGAGGAGGAGGAGGAGGAGGAGGAGGAGGAGGATGCGTAGGAGGATTGAGGAGTGAGGAGTTAGAAGGGGGGGGAGGGAGGATGAGGGGTAGGATGATGAGGAGGAAGAGGAGGACGACGACGAGGAGAAGTCAGGGAAGGAGAGGAGCCTGAAGAGCGGCGACGGAAGGAGGAGGAGTAGGAGGAGGAGGAGGAGGAGGAGGCGGAGAGTAAGGGAGCAGCAGGGGAGTGTGCTGGGTCGCCGACGGTGGGGCCGCCCCAGCGGCAACCTCGCGGACGATGGAGGAGTGACGCGGACGAGAAGCATGGGGATGGGGAGGAGGAGGAGGAGGAGGAGGAGGAGGAGCAGCAGCAGCAGGGCCACGAGGAGGAGGAGAGGAGGAGGAGGAGGAGAGTAGGAGAGCAGCAGCAGGGCACGAGGAGGAGGAAGGAGGATGAGGAGAGGAGGATGGAGGAGGAGGAGGGGAGGGGAGGGGGAGGGGAGGGAGGTGAGGGAGGGGAGGATGGGAGAGGAGAGAGGAGGAGGAGGAGCAGGAGGAGTAGGAGGAGGAGGAGGAGGCGAGAGGGACGAAGGATAGAGGAGTGAAGGCGAGTGGAGGAAGAGGGAGGAGGAGGAGTATTAGGAGGATGAGGTGAAGGAGGAGAGCAGGAGCAGGATTAGGATGTATGCGTATTATTCTTCGGCTCGGTATGACTTCGTAGGAGTTTCTTTGTGAGGGGTAGGGGGGATGGTGAGGGGAGGGGAGGGTTAGGTTGAGGGTGTGGTATGATGTGGGAGGCTTAGTTAAGTATGATGCGTCTGCGGATTAGTCGGCTGAAGGATTAGTCGCTTACGTGTTAGGTTTCGTTCTGATGGCGGAGGAGTGGACTAGACTACTACGATTTTTTCGGCATGCCAAAAGTCCGTCCAACAGAAAAATGAGGAGGAAGGGACAAGAAAAGAGGACAGCGTAGAGTGATGAGGGTAGGAGGAAGGAGGAGGAGGGAGAGGTTGTTGAGCATGAGCAGCAGCACCAGAAGGAGGGAGGAGGAAACCAGGAGAGAAGAGGCGATGGTAAGGCTTCTCCGGTCTGCGCACAGACGTCCCCTCCGGGTAGTCCCGGCTGGCCTCAACAGGCACCCCAAGCAGTCCAGGGGGCGGTCTCGACACCTCCACCCTGGGGCGCGGAGCGCCCCAGGGGCGCCGCCAGAAGCGGCGCCAGGGTGCCGAGACCGCCCTGGACCAGTCGGGGTGCCCGTTGAAGCCAGCTAGGACTACCTGGCGTGGCCGTCTGTGCGCCACCCGAACCTTTGCGAGGGGGGCCCGTTCCGAGGACTCGGAGAATGAGGACGAGGGGTGCGCGCACGCCGACTCCTTCGCGGAGTCGACGGAGCGCCGGCGTGCCAAGCGCAGCGCGACCGCCAACATCGGCTCGGGTTCATGCAAGGCTCGGGGGAAGGGCAGGACAAGGAGGTTCTCGAGGACCATATTGTCAGAGGTGGATCGACCTCCTACACTGACACGTCGATTAAGGAATTGGCCGTTTTCGGTTCGCAACCACGCCGCCCATTCTCCCTCCTCGTCGTCCTTTCCTTCCTCGCTCCCGCTCTTCCTCCTCTTCCTCCTCCTCCTCCTGCTCCTGCTCCGCTTCGTCAGTGCAGTGTTTATACGAACGGTTGGCAGAGCCATCGGGGTTGCCCACACAAGTGTCTGTCCTTCCTCCCTTCGCTTCCCTCTCCGCTTCCCGTCGCGTCTGCATCGTCGACAAGTTGTTCAGGCCACGGTTCACTGCATGAGTTTGCCTAGTGCAGGTCGGCTTGTGCGGTGTTCCCGGTTTGCCTAGCGACCTTCTGAGTCGCGATGTTGTTCTGGCATGTGTGGGTTTCGTGCGAGAACGAATCAGTTTGGCCTCTTGGGGTCCTCTCGGAGCCTCTACGGGGGCCTGCTGAGCGCCTGCCGGCGGTCTCGAGGGTCCTCTTGGCGGTCGGGTTCGGGGTTGGCATCGCTCGGACGTGTACATTCTTTCTCAGCAAGGACCCCCGAGGAATTTCTGGGACAGTCTTACGAAAAATGCAAGCACGGAGGAGGAGGAGGAGGAGGAGGAGGCGAAAAATGCACGGGAAATGGACGTGGGGGCTCGTTACCGGGAACCCATCGGCCATGTGTCGCCGATCCCAGGCCGATGTTCCCCCCACCTCCTCCTCCTCCTCCTCCTCCTCCTCCTCCTCCTCCTCCTCCTCCTCCTCCCTACCTCCTCCTCCTCCTCGCTCCTCCTCCTCCTCCTACTCTCGCAGGGAGGGTGTGGTTGTGCGGACGGGGTCGGAGCGTTGCGGTGAGGGAGACGATCAGTCAGCGGTCCCCGATGAGTGGCACCCGACCCTCCAGGCTGCGCGCCATCGGAGGGTGCCGCCACTCGGGCTGCGCGCTGTGTGGCCGACTGGCAATAGGTGCATCATATCATACAGGCGACAGTCGGTTAAATTCCGACGCTGCAGAGGCAATCCATTGTTTGACGAAATTGATGGCCCTCCCGATAGCTTTCCTATTTCTATTCTCCTTCTCCTCCTCCTCCCCCTCCTCCTCCTCCCCCTCCTCCTGCTCCTCCTCCTCCTCCTCCTCCTCCTCCTCCTCCTCCTCCTCCCCGTGCCAATGACCCCCCAGACTTCTTGGTTCTCGATGTGGTTGGGGACGCACGGGGCAGCCTTTAAGGATCCCTGCTGGGGTCCGACGAGCACCCCAACCACGAGGGCCAGGGAGCGGGGGTCGGGGCGACAAAGGCTTAATTCGGCCAGCGAATGCACGAAAAGAGCCTGCCATGGCTCGAGGCTGGGCCCGGGGATTCAGATTTTTCTTCCGATGATCGGGATCGGAGTTTGGGTTATGGAGGCAAAGAGCTACGGACTCACGAAGTTCGCATGTAACACAGCCGGTCGTTTCGACAGGAGCGACCAGGTCACACGTAGTTGAGCAGCTCACTGCAGCAACCACCACGCAGGTGGCCAGTCTGTGTACCATGCTCACTGCTTGCCGCTGCTTAGCCTACGGGTCGGGGACTACGGACCACTGCACAGCAAGTTCGCGGTAGCCCCTGGCCCGCTGATTCGCCCGGATCAGCTTCCCATTCAGTATGCTGCCACCTCACGCACATTGCCTAAAGGGTCGGGGACTAAGGACCACTGCATAGCAAGTTCACAGTAGTCCCCGACCCGCTGATTCGACTGGATCAGCCTGCCAGCTGCCGCGCGCGCAGCCATCGTCATGCACATCGCTATATCCGCCTGCCGCTGTTGCAGCTCTCGAGTCAGTGCGCGAGTATGTGAAGCACGATCGGGCATAGCAGAGCCTAAAACCACGGGTAGGCCGGTACACCGAAAATGGGGATGTCAATATTATGTTGTTCCTGTTTGCCCGCCACGCACGACAACACAAATGTCACGGAGTCGGTGCGCGGGCGATTTCCCGCCACTGCTTAGGAGAACACTCTCCTGAGCTCCCTGAGCGTGTCGTTCTTCTGACCTGGCACTGGAGTGCGTGCGTGAGGTGAGGAATAGATCCCGTCTCAAATGCAACCGCTTGCTTTGAGGTTGCGGTTGCTTGTAGGTCGGAGCCCATCGAAAGCCGACGGGCTGGCATCCCCCAAAAACGGGGGAACTGGCTGTCGCGGACCGCTGGCGGTCCCTACTCGAAGCACGGGGTGCAAGATAATTGCGCTTCCTGCCCGTTTTCGGGCTCCGGGGCAAGGCCTTGCTAGGCCGTGTCTAACGCCATTCAGCCATGCACGACAACACAAATGTCACGGAGTCGGTGCGCGGGCGATTTCCCGCCACTGCTTAGGAGAACACTCTCCTGAGCTCCTTGAGCGTGTCGTTCTTCTGACCCGGCACTGGAGTGCGAGCGTGAGGTGAGGAATAAATCCCGTCTCAAATGCAACCGTTTGCTGTTGAGGTTGTGGTTGCTTGTAGGTCAAAGCCCTTCGAAAGCCGACGGGCGGGCATCCCCCAAAAACGGGGGAACTGGCTGTCGCGGACCGCTGGCGGTCCCTTGTCGAAGCACGGGGTGTAGAGATAATTGCGCTTCCTGCCCGTTTTCGGGCTCCGGGGCAAGGCCTTGCTAGGCCGTGTCTAACGCCATTCATTGTACGTTTTATCTGTGCTTACCGTATGGAGGCAAAGAGCTACGGACTCACGAAGTTCGCATGTAACACAGCCGGTCGTTTCGACAGGAGCGACCAGGTCACACAGAGATTCCGAGCGAGTGTAAGATGTGCATGAAGCGTCTGTTACTTTTCTCCCCTTCGGGCCGCTATGGAGGTAGGTTTTCGACGGCGTCGGGAACCTCCTCGGGGGTAGGTTTCCGACGGTGTCGGAAACTTTTAGGACCCCTCACACTGGGGCTTTACCCCTCCGGCGTCGACCCCTCAAGCTGGGGCTTTGGCCCCACATGCGTTACCCGCGCAGCAAGGCTGTTAGGGCCAGGGACTACGGACCACTGCATAGCAAGTTCGCGGTAGCCCCTGGCCCGCTGATTCGACCGGATCAGCAAGCCAGCCATACAGGTAGAAACCAAACTAGTGGGATTACGATGTACAATTGTAGGGCCCTGGGCTAGCAGACCAGAGGATTTATTAATCATTTTTGCATCAACATGCGACTGGAACGCTCACGGCATCCAACCTCGCAGGGGGAAGTCACCCCGATGGGGCGACGCCCCGTTTGTGCCGCTATCGCGCGGCACAGGTGCTAGTATGTGCAGAGAGGCATCCATCTTCACAGGGGGTCCCCCCCGAAGTGGCACTCAGCACGCAAGCATCGCAGGCTGCCTGCATGGGCTGGGGCCCCTGCCGCTTTGCCACACCTACGCTGGGGCTGAAGCTCCCAGCGTCTGCCCGACCTGCCAGGGTCCCTGCACTAAGTGCAAGAGCCCCTGAATTCAGCGGCGGGGAAGCAATCGGGCCCACCTTGGGATCCGCTTCCTCCCCGGAGGGGAACCGCTGGGCAGTGCACGCCAGGAGTCAAATTGCGGACCACTGCTGCGGCAAGTTCGCTCCCCCAATATGGGATGCCACCCCGTAGGAGCCCCGATTCGACAGGATCACTTTGGGGCATGGGGTGAGGAGGGGGTGGCGGCCAGCGAAATCGATAAAGAGGTGGAACATCGACGGGTGTTCCTCACTAAGCACCTCAGTATCGTGGCTATCCGTCATCCCCCAGCTTTAGTCTGCGCGGCGGACACCCGCATCGGCCAGACCCCGCCCCCCTAGGGGCTGAGGTGCGAGTGCACGACCCGCTGACCAAGGATACATCCGAGACTATCCTCCTCCTCCTCCTCATCATCATCCTCCTCCTCCTCCTCCTTCTCCTCCTCCTCCTCCTCCTCCTCCTCCTCCTCCTCCTCCTCCTCCTCCTCCTCCTCCTCCTCCTCCGATGTTCCCCTCCTCCTCCTCCTCCCTCCTCTGAGCCAGTCTCCCCAGTGATGCTCATCGTCTTCTGGCTTTCGGAGCCCCGCTCGGAGCCTCTGCCGGCGGCCGTGCCGGACGATCCTCGGGCACCCCCCGAACGCTCTCCGCGAGGCGAAGCCGTTCGGGAGGCATCCCGAACGGCTGGAAAGCCGCCGAGAACCCACGAAAACGCCCGCAAACCTCGGTCCTCGAGCCTCCGCCCCCTCACGTTCCCCCCTTTCCCCTCCTGCCGGCAGGTGCCGCCCATGTGCAACTCGCGAATCTGGAAGCGCAGGCAGCCGTCGCCGCCCCCGGGCGGCGCCAGCATCCACATTCTGGGCGCCTAGGGCCCCGAGCACGAGGCCCCAGGCCCCAGACGGCGCACGCGCGGTCGGGGGGCGAGGGTAGGGACCCAGGAGAGGCTCGAGGATCGAGGG